ACTGTGTCCTGTGTAATCAGAATTATCATAGCCATAATCCTCTCTAATCGCTAAGGAAACAACCATCTCAGGAATTTTGTTATCTTATGTTTGGACTGTAAATGGGTGAAATAGAGTGTTGGAATACATATCCCATGCCATCTGTAAGCCTGATGGTGTTGTCAGCAGCTTTAATACAAGAGAGATTTATGTTTGATGGAGAGCTTATCACCCTGAATCCAGCTGTGGGGAGATCAGAGGCATGTTTTTTTTTCAGAATCAGGAAGCTAATGTGGCCTAACTTCTTAGCAATAGTATGCTGACATCGTTGATATCAGTGTTTGCGAAAGCACAGTATTTGTGCTTGCACTTTGCAGCTGCTAATGTATTATCACAGCAGTACTGGGCCCAAACATATTCTGTATTTTGGCTCAATTCCCAGATGAGATTTGAGCTTGTAAAGGTATTTTATGATAGGATGATTAAATGTGGCTCAAACCACCTCAGTGAAAAAAATGACCCCCCTGTGTGATTAACAACACTTAGACAACCTCTTCACACCGAAGTGCTTACAGTATAGACGCTGATTGCACTGCCAAAGATTTGAGGTGGGCATATTCACCTTAATTACAAGAAATAATTGAAGTAATTATAGAGGGAGCCAAAAGGGATCTCTTTGTATTTCTACCCCTATGAGTCGCCCATGCCTGACAGTAAGATTATTTTTATTTGTTGGGAAGCTATGCATTCTTGTCAGGTCATAAATCTTTATTATTTTTTTTCTTCCCTAATGAACAAAGCACTTCACTGTCTTGTGTCTCATTCACCCAAAGGGAGCAACCTGGGGTTCATTAATTTCCTAGAGATTTACCCTAGCCTTAACCATAACCACTACTTGCTTAACCCTAACCCTGTAAAACCAACAATGCAGCAATAAAATTGTAACACTGCAATAAGCCATGGGGAGATGAGACTTCACATGCCTACTGTAACTACATTAAGGTCTGTTCAAGGGTTACAGTAAATAACATACTGATGCTCTTTTCATACAGACTAAATAGATTCTGCTGTTCAGCTCAGTGAAAGGTATTGTATATACACTTCCAGCACTTCACTATAGCAGGAAGGAAACCTTTTTCCTTTCCTCAGTTGTTAAGACTGAGGAAATGAAGTGTTTATGCTAACCAGGAGGATGTCATCTCTAATTACACTCAAATTGTCACTTGGGATTTCATTTTCAGACCAAACTCTGTGGACAGTTATCAGATGCTCTACGGTCTTATAGGTGTTCTCGCCTCCCCGATGGCTGCTCAGCTTAAGTTCATCCATCTTTGAATTGACTATGTTTAGATGTATAGGGCTGGCCTCGCAGCTAATGGTATTCATAGTGTGTGTTCGCCTTCCAGCCTAGCCTGGGCACTCATTCACTGTGATTTAGTGAAGCTGAAAACCATGATTTTCAGTCTGGCTTTTGAGGGGAAGCACCAGATATTTATACGTTTGTTTACAGGGTGCTGTAAAGACCTTAATTCAGCAGCAATGAGAGGAGGAGAGGGTGTGTCTACAGCAAACCTGTGTGTGTGTGTGTGTGAGGAAGCACTCACAAATCCGCTTGTTCTTTTTGATAAATAATTGAGTGCATAAGGGAAGCAAGAAAGGATTTAATGATGTGTTCATTTTGACTTTTGCCACAGTGAGAGAACAGAGAATTCACAAGGGAGACGATCATCACAGATGGGTTCAGGTGCATTTATATTTCACAGGGGACACAAGCCATTCTATGTAGGGTAAGACAGAAAGGTGCTGTGTTTTAAGCAGAGGGAATTTAGGGACCAGATCCCAAATGGAAGCAATGGTATTCTCATTCTCATGAAGGTTACATAATCTCCATTTCTTGCAACCCAGTCTCACAGCAAGATATGTTACGTCAGTCCGCAACGTAAATCTTACTACTCTTACAATAATACCTCGAAAATCGTGACATTGCAGTGTTTTTCTCAATCAAATTGAAACTGGTATGGTTATTTTTACGCACATGGTTAAGTTTAGGCACACAAACTAGGTGGTTAAGGTTAGGAAAAGGCCCTGGGTTCGGTTAAAACACTATCGTTGGTCACAATCTCCACTTCTCCACATGAAAGTCAGGTGTTTGTGTGACCCATCCACCCACCCCAACCACCACCTTCGAGAGTTTTTATCATTAGTTCCAAACCATACGCCTTCAACGGACACTACATGTTATTTTTCAGATCCACAGCTGATGACAGTAATGTGCCATTTCCTTGTTTGACCACCATCATAACACACCAAGCAGAAGACCACAAAGAAGCATGCTCGACTGCAATAAAAAAAAATGTTGCCATGTAACAATTTTACAGTCATTATTGTGACACTACTACATTTTACACTATGGGCCAAGCTATTATACATTGTGCTGTGAGACAGGACTGGTTCCTGACAATGCTTCGCCATCAACATAACTTTGATAAACTTACCATTGATCACTAAAAGCTAGAGCTTAACAGAAGATTGCTTCTCACAGATCGTTAGCCTTCTCTGATGTCATCTTTAAAGGCATTACCCTTCTTTGATGATATCCCTGTCCATTAGTGATAGTGCATAAAATGAGCTACTGAGGAATACGGCTCTCACACATCTATGACCCTGCGACTGATGATCATTCCCCTGGTGAGAGAAAAGACTAAGGAAGTGTCACCCATAATCTTTGCCTTTTAGATCACCAGCATGGAAAAACACCAGGACAAACATCGATAATATGTTCCTGTCCCAGCAGATTTAAAGTGTTAAGTGGTCCTTGTTGGTGATGGGAGTGGTTTAAATGTGAGAGTGGGTGGCTGGAGGGATGAGGGAGTGGAGTGTATGAACGATGCAAATAGGTGTAACAGGAAAAAACGTGCAGCAAATCTGCTTTGGAACCTCTCCATAGAAAACACAAGCACACATTCATGCATGTGCATCACTGCCCTATTATATTTAAAATTGCCCACTACCATTGTTCTAAGAAAGAGAGGTGTGTGGTTCCAGTCTTACATCAGAGAAGGGAGCCTCACATGTTACACCGGCAGGGAAATATTTACCCAACCTGACAAAATAGCAGAAATATATGCGCTCTTTATATTCACACTCATTTCAAACATCAAAGCATGTCTGAGATTTAATCTAGTGGTTACGCTCCCCGCTGACTTTTACATTTTCACCTGACAGCCTCAGCAGCGAGCAGCAGGGCTTGTCTGCTGCTGTCAGAGTAATGTTTGTCTTGAATGTAGTTCTAATCTAGGTGATAGTCAAAATCAATAGACATTTGAGAAGAGAGACAGCAAAAGGCTGGTGGGTCAAATCATTCACCTTAAATTACTAAGGCAATACAAGAAATTGCTGCAGGGCTGCCTTGGGACATGCCAGAAAGTAAAGCGCATCATCTCAAACAAAAAAAGTAGTAGTAGTAAAGAGGAAAACACAGATAGGAAAGATCATTAGGTTGCAGACCACTGACTACAGCAGAAGTAGTTAACAAATTGTGCATGTTTGTGTTGTATGAGTCAAGGAAACAGAAACACAACTGACAAACAGATCTTTAAAGGTCCTGTGAAAAAGAGGGTTTGATTTATTTCAGTTTACTCATGCAGCTTTGAAGTGGCTATAATCAATATTTTTATATTAGCCAAGGACTGCATGCCCAATTCTGTGTAGTCTCTCATGCTGATGAGGCCAGAGAGAATTAGCAAACAACTCTCTAAGACAGCTTTATAGGCGTCTTTTAACTATAAATCGTTTTGGTTTTATGGCAACTTTAATATTTTGCTCTCATGGCAATGCTTTTTGGCACAGAAGACAGTTGTTTTTAGTAAAAAAGCACTCAAAACCTAAGATACACTACGAAACCTCCCCAGCACTAAACTAAAGACAAGCACTTGACAACTAAATGGTAACCATACTGTAATGGAGCCATAAGCAGCTAAATAGCAACATAAACAATTAGGTGATAAAGCTTTACAAACAGTGCTGTAGGTTAAACTTAATATTTTTGAGACTAAGCTGATCGTACAGATACTTCCACTACATTACAGCAGGGAAAAGAACTGGACAGTCATCAGTGATGCATGTAGATTCATATCATTGAAGTTACTGTAGATGACATTTTTTAGCTATCAATATTGTGATCTTTGTCTTTAAAATGTTTCAGGTAAACAATAATGTGCAAGAGGTTACATGATGCATTTGTATTCCAAGTCATGCAAAGAGTGTAAGTATTATTGCACATAACTGAAAGTTACTGTAGATGATCCTTGATCTGGGACAGTCTCACTATTTGTTCAGCATGAATGTATTCCCTGAAAATTTTCTTTCCTTTTTTTATGGAACGCAGCTTCTATCGTGTCCTGTAATCTGCCTTTTGAATGAGGAACAATTGTGTTTACATTTGAGAGGAGAAACTAATAACAGAGCTGAGCTGAACGCCACAGTCCACGTTTACAACACTGCTTCCTGTTTCCTCACTAAAAAGGCAGGCTCCTATAGGAATACTGTCAATTTGCCAGAAGTTCTTCCAGCTGCTTATTTTCATTAAACTTCTCTTATGGATTACCCGTAAGAGAAAATTGGACCAAGCCTGGGCCAAATACAACTTTAAAATTACACTTCTATTACACTGGAACAGTGTGTCATGCTGAGGCAGTCATTTTAGGACAAGTCAGCTATATTACTTTGGTGTCAAGGGAGTAGCTCCCTGGCCAATTGAGCCAAAACAAAATCCTCAGAAATGTCATTTTAATCCAGTTGAGCTCCTCTCACAGGGCTTCAGGGCTTGATAAGTTTGCCAACCAAAGTTATGAAGAAAGATTATTGTTGGAAGATTTTAGCCCAAGTGCTTCAAGCTAAAATATATATATTTATGTTTGAAAACTGCCTATTTCACTTAGGCTACCGTTTTTATCAGCTAAGGGAAGCTGCACTTGATAACTGTAATTGCTTTCTGTTGTTTTGTAGAAATTCACTCTTACATTGTGTCTTTTCTTCTTCTTAATCTCCTCCTCTTCTGAATCATGTATATGCTAAGCAACGCTGCTGCTTTGTCACCTTAAAGTAAAAAATACAACAGCATCATAATCAAATCTGATTTTATCATTAAGGTTTTATCTGCTGTGCTAACACCAACTAGCTAATTACAAATGCAATTATCCTCTTACCGCTCGCCTTTTCTGTCTGATGGATGTTGGATGGTGTATAATTTCCGATGCACATCTCTCCTGTTCTGTTTATCACACACTCATCACTGCTCCACCACTTACATCTGCAGCATGGCATCAATCATGTGGAGTGCTGAGTCACTTCCTTTTGTGAAAACTATTGTCTGTGAGATACATTGACTTCCTGTCTTAAGTATGTTCGATACATTTAGTGGTGTCAAACCCAACACTTTTCCTTCCTGCACCTACAACAATGGAATGTCTGTAGCTGTTGCCCTTCCTAGCCTGGTATGTGTCAGGGAAGGAGTGTTTATTTGTCCTGTAGTTAGAAACAAAGAAGCACAAAACCTTTGCTTGTGTTCAGCTGGACTGCAGGATTTAATCTCAGTCTCCATCAAAAACTGGAATACGAGTCATAGTTACTAGATTCACATTTGGCAGTACCTTCACATGTCAGTATAATTCTGGTATGTGTAAATACAGTATTTATTAACCAGTACATAAACCCCTGTTTGTTCTTCTTCCAATACATTAACCTAACATTTCCAGTATCCTCCTTGAGCAAACACTTGGTGACAGTGGGCGGGGGTGGGGGGGGCACTCTGTTTAACAGAAGAAACCTTCAGACAGACTTTGGCTCTGGGTGGAGGGCGATATAGCCTCAACAGGTTGGGGTGAGTGGATAGAGGAGAGAGCACAGAAAAGCGTCATGACACAAAAAACAATCAAGCGCTGGGCAGGTTGATGTGGCCAGTGACTGCTCATCAGAAATGTGCAGCTTCAGAGTCAGAGACACCTGAGGAAAGGTACAGGATGAGAGAGAGAGGAGACACAAAGTTAATGATGTTCAGTGGTGACATATGAAAAAAAAAGTGGAGAAAGACGAGAAGAGAAGGGACGCTTACCCATGTTTTGGCGTATTTAATTGTGTATTGGTAGCAATGAACAGTACCATAGCCTCCTAATGAACTGTATTTAAACCTTTTACGCTTGCCATTTTGTTCTTTGATCAGTGCACTGTACTTACTAAGCTTGCCCCTGAATAGGATGTTTGTTATGCTGTTTATCATAAAAGGGGAATGGCAGCTGTTATGAGAATTATTTTAGTTTGGACAGGGAGAATCTCCACAGTCCTTGACAGTCACATCTTCAGCTCCAGTGAATCTTGGCTTGGCTTGTAAAGAGCATGTGATATAATGCAGGACATGTGCCTAACCCAGAGACATTATACTTGGGAATTGTGATTATTTAAATATCCCGAAGTGTAAAGAGTTATAAGCCTTTTTAATGGTCTTTCTCTAGGTCTCTCCAGTTTAATATTAATTCACAGTTTTTCTTTTGATCCAACATGACAAAACAAATCGTGAGAGTGATTTTCATTTTTATTTATCACTCATCTTTTCATTCACACCATAATATTGATGTACGGCATAAGAGATATCAAAAACTGAGTAGAACTAAATTATTAATCACTCAATCAAAACATAGTATTTGTTGGTCCATTTTCTTTCAATTTGAACAAAACCTTGAGGCACTGTAGGCTCATTTCAAGGAACATTAGCATGTTTTACTATGTATAGGGTAAGATGAAGCTGTGCTCACCATAATTTTAATTTCCTCTCAGTGCTGAAGTGTTTTGAAATTTTTCATTAAGCCTGCACACACACCAGCAAGCTGTAGCACACTATTCTCACCACAGTGTGCTGCTGTTACCGCAAGGCTGGGGATGTAATGAGGTTTTAATGGGCTTCTGTCAAAACAATTTTTTATACCATGTGTTTTTAAAGAGAGATACCAAATGCTCTACAAAAGCTTCTCTGGATTGTTAGGAATAGCATATACAGATCCACATGCAATACTGGCTAATGCAGCATTTTGACAGTGTGTTATACTGTTCTTTGGTACACACAATTATTTCCGAATGGTTTTCCTTTTTACATTTTTTAAAAAGAGATAAACAATAAATGCATTTGTTTTGATAGATAATGCATGAGGTTTTATTTTTTCATGGTAGGTCCATTTACAGGCCACCTTTATTTTCCAGGAACACCCTGTTCACCTTCACACATGGAAGGTGCCCAGTGGGACCACAGACTGACCTGTGGTCACTGATCTGCTCCACTGCAGCGCTAGGGGTTGAGGGCAATGAGAAGGTTGAGGCAAGTGCTATGCCACCCAGATTTGATCCTGCTGGTCTGTGGATTGAACCGGTCACAGGTTCACCTCTGTAACCTTTAGGCCACCACTTCCCCCACTACATGAATACACAATGCTCATATATTCAGTATGTTCAAGTGGATAAACTAACAACTATCACATTAAAACTACATTGAAAGTTATATTTGCGCCATAGAATTTATGATCCATTGCTATGAAATATACTTAAAGGATAACGCTGGACACTTCCCATACAGAGACTAAAACTGACAATGATGTGCCTCTACTCACAGTTAATGTGTGTCAGAACTGGATTAGCTTATTCGTCTGTGCCATAGAGCTCCGTTGTTATTCAAAAATGATTAAAAACACATCCGGGAAGCACACTTCCACGCTGGGTGACATCTTTCTTCATTAGCAAACCTCAGATCCAAGCGTGCAGAGCTAGTGGACTATAAACAGAGCTGAGAGCTCACACAAGATCTCGTACATGCACAGTTGAAATCGGACTCATGCTAACTTGAGGAAATCCAGTCGTTTGGAGACTTCCGGGCAACATAGTCAGGTCTGAAGATTTATAATGAAAAAACGTGTCACCCAGTGCAGTGGGGTGTTTCATTGATATGTTTTTAATTGTTTTTGAATAACAACGGACAGATGAACAAGATAATCCAGGACTGCCAGCTGACAGATGTTAATTGTGAATAGAGGTAGTTCAATGTCAGTTTTAGTCTCTGTATGGAGATTGCTGAAAATACAATTAATATAAAAAATGACCATCCTTATGCTTTAAGTCCTGCTGTGGTACATGCATGTTTAGTTTAGCAGAGTGCTTTATGAGGCTTGAGAAAAGAACTGCTTGTTAGGTAGCTGCAGGAGGTGTGAGTATTTAGTTTAGGTGACACTAGTCATTACACAGACCGAGTGAAACAGCCTCAGGGGCGGAAGGAGAACAGGATTTATCGTCATCCTTGTTGAGTATTCCTCTCTGCTCCGTTCTCCAGCTTTCAGCTTTCCCCATGCTGCCCACAGCAGGCCTCCTGGCAAAAATTAAGGGATTTCTATGCCAGTGGAGTTTTCTGTCATCAATCCTGTTTGCCATGCTTCAGCCCATGCCTCTCTCTCCCACTCTCTCTACCCATCCATCCGCCAGTCCAGCTCTTCACATCCATCTCTCCCTCCCCCAGGTTGGCGAATTGATTGTGTTGAGCTAGTGGAAAAAGGCAGCCACAGGGGACAAACACTGAAGCACCTGTCTGCCAGGCCTTCTGTTTTAATGAAAAGCTAAAGCCCCAGCAATCACACCTACACACACATACAAAGCCTTCATACATATAGACTGGCATACACCTACATCCACACTAGCTAGTGGGCAGATCTGGTTCTCCAGTTACCTCCAGTATGTGGAGCCCCACTGACATTTAACAACTGGAGTTACCACCTTGTTTGTCTGCTGAACGGTAGATTTATGTCAAGGGAATTCTGGGTAATGGCAGAATCAGATGCTTGTGGTAAAAATCAGGTCTCTTGTGTGTAAATGTATAAATAAGAATGCTTACCTGTGTAAGGGTAGGCTGTTATTTTCAGTGTGATGTTCTACTGCCTTGCTATCAGCAGGAGATGCTTTAACATGGGCAGAGTGAGAGAAGCTGGAGAACTAGAGACAATTGTAATGTCTTATTGTACAACCTGCTATTTAATAGGGAATCGATCTAATGTATTGTTGAAATAAAGGATTGTGGGTCGAGATAATGTGTGTTAATGCAGTCTAATGTATGTGCAGTGTTGGGGAGTGACTAGTCACTATAATGAAATGACAAGATAATAGTAATCAGTTACAGTTACTGAGAAAAAAATGTTATTAAATTACAGTCACTAATCAAAATGTGGTTGATTACAAACGGGTTATGTTCAAATATGTTGTGTTCAGTAAAAAGTGTATGTGTATGTGTATCATTTTGTTGCTTTGCAGCTTCTCGCCTTCTATTGGTATATTTCCACACAGCACGGGTCACGAAAGCCGCTAGGACAAATGGCACCATCATGGGTAGGACAGCTAACAAGGAACTGTCTCTATGTGTAGATATGTCCATTCATTTAGCAGCATGCATAAAATTTTGGATGTTGCTATTGATTGGTTCTTTTGCTTGACTTTACATCACTTCCCATCTGTCAGTCAAATCATCACACATCACTCTAAGCAGTCTGGCCGCCACCAGCAGACATCAGCAAAGGTGGGTGGTCATGTTGTCAGAAAAGAATGATTGTCAGTGCTGGAAATTCAACAGCAGTTTCCTTCTGAAATCAGAAAAGGCTTGGCGCTCGTTCAAACAGCTACATGTTTCAACAGTAATATTTAATGTAGCTGAAGTTATGTTAAAGAACCTTTAATAATGATCAGTGTCGAGTACAGCTATGAGGTTTATGCTGCCTGGTTTAAATTCATGTTCAGATTTTTCAGCTTTATTGCCCAGTTTAAAACATTTTTTAGAAAAGTAATCAAAAAGTCACCTTCCCGTCAGTGTGTATGTGGTGTATGAACAGCATGTGCTTGTGGATGTGTGGATTTGCTGTCTACTGCTGACATGCTGAATCGGTGTACTTTATAACTACACTACAGTATAATGACAGGCAGCCAGCTTCACAGGGTTGTAAACACTTACCAGTCGTTTCAGCCTTAACTATTCATGAGAAAATCCATAAACATGTCCTGCTTTAGTGCC